CTTATAATTGAAAATGTACTATCAATTAATTTCAAATTATAATATCTTTTTAAAAACTTATATATAAATTCGTTAATTTACATATATTTTAATACGGCCCGTCATGAAAATTTTTATAAATTTTTTTTTTTTTTCAATAATTTCAATAAAAATATAAAGTCTGATGATCCCTTTTTTTTAAAATGCTGAAAATCTTGAAATAATTTAATTGGAATTTAAAATTTTTTCAATTTTTTAAAAAATATATATATATAGATATATATATATATATATATATATATATATATATCCAAGATATATGAATTATATTAAAAATATATTTTTCTTAAACAATATATTTTATAGATACACATATCTAAGCAAAATTCTGTTTATAATAAACAGTAATTCAAAACAATATTTATGGCCTGAATGTTGCATCCGATAAATTTAAACGGAATATACCAGATTTTCTTCCGAATTATAATTCAAAAAAATGAACTATACGGAACCGTTTTTAGGGATTCAAATAATTGTCGGACTTGTCCATTTTAAATAATGAATATATATATATATATATATATATATATATATATATATATATATATATATATATATAATAGATATATAGATATTATATTTATCTCATAAAATTTAATTAATATGAACACTCAAAAATGTTATTTCTCATTTCTAACACTCCACAAATAATGTAAAAAACAAAATAAATCTTTTCATAAAGTCTATTTTTTTTTTTACAAAGAAAATATTGACATATATAAATATTTAACTTATATTTTTTTTTCTTTTGATTGATTTTAATATATATATTCAAATTCGATATAAATATATCCGTTAGGTTAATGTTTAAATGTATCAATATATGCTAACATGATAAAAATGTCTAAAATTATTCCCTCTCTCTTCGTTAATTTACATATGTTTGTTATTATATATAATCAAAATTATAAATTTTGTTTCATTTCAGTCAATGAAGTAAAATTGAATTTGATAAAGCAGTCTTATATTCAAAATTATGAAATAATTTTTACATTCAAACCTTGAAAATCAGTTGTTTTATTTAAATTTATATATATATATATATATATATATATATATATATATATATATATATATATATATATTTCAAACGTTATTTCAAAAACAACTAAATTGTTCTATATAAATATTTAAATAAATGATCTAAAGGTTAAAAGATAAAAACAACTAATATGTTTTTATATTATTAAATAAATACTATTATATATATATATATATATATATATATATATATATATATATATATATAATATATATATAAATAAATAATAAAAATGTCACATTTTTATTTTTCCATCTTTTTTTTTTTTTTTTATCAAATTTTCCTGTCTGTTTTTTTTTTATGTTCTTAATGTCTGATTTTTTTTTCCGATTTTTTGTTTTTTTGAATCTAAATAATATAATTTCTTCAAATAAAAAATATATGTCAAATGGTATTTATAGCAATTAACTTTCAAAAGATTAAGACGCAAAGGAAACCGATCGAGACATGGATGAAAGAAATTTTAAACCCTTCTTTTTAATTTTAAAAAAATTCGCTTTCAGATATCAAACGATCACTACTCACCAGTCAGGGAACCAATCTTATTTGTCAACATTAAAAATCTGTCAAAACTTCTATACATGCGCATACAACATTTTATATATATAAATTATATATATATATATATATATATATATATATATATATATATATATATATATATATGTAAAAAGGTTTACAAAATACATAAATAAAAAATATTTGTATATTCTATTTTATATATAAATAAATCTATCTGTTGTTGTTTTTAATATTTGTTGTTTTTATTAATTATATATTTATTGTTTTAGACTTAAAAATATGATAATGAAATTTAACTTAATTAATTACAGGTTTTTCTTAATGGAAAACGTTTTGGGATTTAGGTAGGAATTAAAAAATCTGATTATATTTAATTGGAAATGGAAAAATTGATTTTAACCTACACACACACACAACACACACACACACACACACAAAAATATATATATATATATATATATATAATGAAGAATTATATTTTTATAATATATATATATATGCGACAGACAGACAATAATATTTAATCAAGTTCTATTCAATCTAATTCATAAGTTATGTCTCCTTAATCTTTATTGAATTTTTCCAAATTCCGAATACGTTTTTGTACACATGGATTAGATAAACTGTCTGGCGTTTAAACAAAACAATAAAAAAAATCATATCAACTTTGGTTTGTTTATCCAAAATAAATTCAAAGCGGGTGATCTTATTGCTTGACTTTAATATATTTTTCATATATATAACCTCAGGCAATTCACACAAAAGGCAAAAAAAACTTTTGTTTTTAATGAAAAATTCTATTTAATTTAAAAAAAATAAAAAAACAGATAAAACGAAAAGCATTTTTTATTTAGTGGCTGAAAAAAAATGCCTTTTAAAGAAAATGAATAAATTATAAATAAAAATTAAATTAAAATAAAATTTTTATAAAATTTTTTTTATGAAAACCATAAAAAGGAAAATTTTAAGTCATAGCCTATAAAATGTCGCCTCAAAAAATAATGAAATAATTGTAATTAAAAAACAAAGATGTTTTTCAGTTTGGGCTTAATTTATTCAGACACATTTTTTGGTCATTGGTTAAAACATATTTTTACAGAAATGCGCATTGGAAAAAAATCAAAAATATAATAAAAATGTGTAAAATTAATTCAAGACGGCAAATGACTGTGAAAAGATAATAATATTTTGATTTGCCAGCCTTGGAAAATAATTATATCTTTTAATTTTAAAAAGATAATCTAGCTTGTTTACTGCATATTTTATGAAGATAATATGTTCATCTATTAAATAAAATGATTTATGCATTCAATTATATGATTATTTATAAAAAAAAAAAAAAAAACATGGCAATTTTTTGAAGTCAAAGATATATTTTTTAATTTTCATTTTATTTAGAGATTCTTGATAAAATACAAAATAGTTTCTGCAAATTACTGGTCTTGATTGAATAAAAATTTAGTATTTTTCCCACCGCCGTAACGTTTCTTTGTTGTACTTTTTTTGGATGGAATATTTTCATATAATAAATAATTATTTATTTTGATAATATTTTTATCAATTTAAGCCCAACACTAGATTGGTGGTGAGGTTTGATTATTTTTCAATTGAAAAATAGATAAAATTAGAACTCTACGCTATATATTTCTTCATCCATTTTCATTAACAAAACATATATCAATCCTTCTTGTTTTCCAATGTGATCAAATTTGATATTAAACTGTGAAGATAAAATTTATATTTAAATAATATAATACAAAGTCATAAATATAACTGCCTTCTTAATCCCTGTTCTTTTATTGTTCCTCCTTCGTGAAAAATTGAAAATATTTTTTTCTCGTTCTCTAAGTTAGAAGTTTAATAAAGACCAGGTGCCTTAGTTTATTGTTTTTTTAGTTATGGACAAAATTATATATATAAATATATATATATATATAGTTACACAAACACACACACACACAAAAACATATATATATATATATATATATATATATATATATATATATATATATATATATTATATAATATGCAATCAATTTCAAATTCATGAATTATTCACACAAAACAAATGCAAAGGTTAATGATTTAATTGGCGAGAAATCCATCGTCGCAAACAATTCAAATAATATACAAAAACCTCCGAATCCGTTATGAATGAAAAGAATCTTTATTTCTATAAATTTCTGCCGCATTAGTTCTTATTTTTACTACAAGCTTTCGTCTGTTATATATAGATATATATATAAATATATATTATATATATATATATATATATATATATATTGCTTATATATATTCAATGTATATGTATATATATTATATATTAAATAGATAAAGGTCTGGTACTTCCCCCAATATGCGTTAAGTATGATTGAGAGAAATATTAAATTAAACCCTCTCTAAACTCTATTGTCTCTAAAAATTTAAACATTCTCTGTTAAATTACAAAAACTTAAACTACCCATCAATTTTCATTTCATTTTTCTTTTTCATCTTTTGAAGTGCTATCTGATGAATGTCTTTTAAAAAGGGCTCTGGTGAAATAAATTAATATAATGGAATATATAAAGTGGAAGTTTTTTTATATATATATATATATATATATATATATATATATATATATATATATATATATAAATATTATAAATATAAAACTTTATAAAATTTAAAAGTGATTTGAATATTTGTTAAAATATTACAGAAGTAAGAATTCGGACAGAATAACCTTTTTTTTATAGATTTTTAACCAATCTGCTATTAAGAAATTGATTTAAGAAGAATAAATATGGAACCAAGGCTATTTCTTGAAGAGGCAAGATAGGTGTTTAGAAAAAAATTGAAGGATTTTATATTTCAGTTACCGTGGCAAGTTTCACACTCTTCCAAATTGTTTTTAATAAAAGTTTTAAACTTTTTTATAAGACTTAAGAACCCCTTAAGGTAGAAGATTACCTAAGAATGGGTTATTAAAGATGTGTTAAAAAGTGGAGATTTTGAGGATAAGGAAGATAGATAAATATTGACTCTTGATTTGAAGTGGCTAAGGTTGTTGTATTCAAGAAAGGATGGGAATCTGTCCCATAAAAATGGCAGTTCTTACCTTTGAAATCTATCAAGGCAGGAAAATGAGGGTTGAGCACTTCCGGCTCAAATATGGCTGCAATATTTCATTAATCTTATTCTTGTAAAGTAAACGCATATCGGGATTCAGGTACTCCCTGGACCAATAAAATGTGCCGATGTTTTTTTCCAGAATCTTTGCAACGGATAGTATATAAAAGTTCATTAGGTGAGTTCTCGAGTGAATTTGAGATCCAATACACATCCAGCAGATCATTGAGAGGTCATCTTAACTTGAAAAGATTCAGTGATTTAAGCGTGATGATGAAATGGTACGTCAAATCAGTGAAAGAATTGTTAAAAAAAAACAGAAAAGGGCACAAGGTAGAACTATAAGCGAGCAAAGGAGAAAGAAAGAAAGAAAGAAAGAAAGAAAGAAAAAGAAAGAAAGAAAGAAAGGGATAAAAGGAAGAACTGTAAGTGAGCAATGAAAGAAAGAAAGAAAGAAAGAAAGAAAGAAAGAAAGAAAGAAAGGAAGAAAGGAAGAACTGTAAGCGAGCAAAGAAAGAAAGAAAGAAAGAAAGAAAGAAAGAAAGAAAGAAAGGAAAAAAGAAAGGGCTAAAAAGAAGCAGTGTAAGCGAGAAAAAAAAAAAGGGCTAAAAGGAAGAACTGTAAGCGAGCAAAGAAAGAAAGAAGGAAAAAGAAAGAAAGAAAGAAAGGGAAAAAGGAAGAAAGAAAGAGCAATAAGAAAACAAAGAAAGAAAGAAAGAAAAAGAAAGAAAGAAAACAAAGGAAAGAAAGGAATATAGATAAACAAAGAAAAGAAAGAAAAAAAAGAAAGAAAGAAAAGAAAGAATATAAATAAAAAAAAGAAAAAAAAAAAAAAAAAAAAACAAAAGAAAAAATTTTCTCTGATATAGAAAAAAAGAAAGGAAAAAAAAAAGAAACAAAGGGCTGACAAAGAAAAAATAAAGAAACAAAAAGAAAAAGAAAAAAGAGGAAAATTACTTTCTCTGAAAGAAAGAAAAAAAAAGAACAAACAAAGAAAACAAAGAAACAAATAAACAAATAAAGAAAAAACAGAAACTTTAAAAGGAAGAATAAATAAAGATAAGAAAGAAAGAAAGAAAAAGAAAAGAAAGAATTTTCTTAAAAAGAAAAACAAAGAAAGAAAAAGAAACAAAAAAAAGAAAACAAATAAAATCTTTAAATGGAAGAATTTAGATAAACAAAGAAAAAGAAAAGAAAGAAGAAAAGAAAAAGAAAGAAAGAAATTTAAATAAACAAACTGTTTTAAGAAAGAAAAAAAACAAAAAACCAAAGAAACAAATAAACAAATATGATAAAGATGAAAGAATAAAAAGAAAGAAAGAAAGAAAGAAAGATGAAAGAAAGAAAGAAAAGAAAGAAAGAAAGAAAAGAAAAAAAAGAAAAGAAATAAACAAAAAACAAATAAAAAGAAACAAATAAACAAGACAAAACAAATGCAATTCAAAGAAAGATAAATGAATTTATATACAAATAAGATAATCTGAAAGAATATGAAAGTAAAAAAAGAAAGAAAAAGAAAAAAGAAAAAAAGAAACTTTTAATCTACTAAAACAAACAAACAAAGAAATAAATAAAATGTTGGGGATGAAAAAAGAAACTTAAGAATTTGTCAAGGATTGAGTTGAAAAAGAAGGAAAAAAAAAAAGAAAGAAAGAAAGAAATCCAGAAACTTAAAATAAAGAAATGTAAAGAAAAAAAAGAAAAAGAAAGAAAAAACAAATAAACAAATATAAATAAACAAAGAAAAATGAAAGAAAAAGAATTTAAAGATGTTACAAAAAGGAAAAGAACTTTTAGAAAAACAAAGAAAGAAAGAAATCAAGAGAGGAAGAAAATATAGAAGAAAGAAAGAAAAGAAAGAAAGAAAGAAAAAACTGATAAAGATAAAAATAAACAAAAATGTAAAATGAAGAGATGCTGACATTTACTTCAAATAGAAAGAAAGATGATATAGAAAAAAAGAAAGAAAGAAACAAGAAAGACAGAGGTTTCTTTTGAATATAAAAAAACAAACAAAAAAAAAAAAGAAAGAAACAAAAATAAACATGAACAAACAAAAAAAAGAATGAAAACAAATAAAAAAAGAAACTTATAAGAAAAAAAGAAAAAAAAATGTGAAAAACAGATAAACTTTTTCTGAAATAGATAAACAAAGAAAGAAAGAAAGAAAGAAAGAAGAAAAAAAAGAACTTTCTGATAAAATAAAAAAAGAAAAAAAGAAAGAAAAAACAAATAAAGAAACTTGAAAAAGGATATAATAAAGGAATTTAAAGAAATTGAAGAATCAGAAAGAAAATGAAAAAAGAGAACTTTTCTGATAAAGAAAACAAATAAACAAATTCAATGTAAAAAGACAAAAGAAGATGCAATTCAAAATCGATAAAAAAAATAAAAATAAAAGAAAGAAACAAAGAAAAAGAAAAACAAATACAGTCTCTTTTAGGAAATAAATGAACTTTTTATCTAAAGAAACAACCAAAAAACCAATAATAAATCTGAAGGATAGCAGAATAAAAAAGAAAGAAATTGAAAAGAAAGAAGGAAATTTAAAAGAAAGAGGGCGTGAACTTTTCTGCATCCACAAACAAATAAACAAACAAACAAATAAACAAGACAAAGGATACATACAATTCAAAATAGAAAAATGCATTTAAAGAAAAAAAAATAATCTGACAGAATATGTCTGTGTATATAGAAAGAAACAAAGAAAGGAAAGAAAGAAAAAAAGAACTTGAAAGATACAAAAAACAAACCAAATAAATAAACAAAGAAAATCTGTTGGGGAAAGAAAGAATAAACTAAAGAATTTTGTAGGATAGAAACAAAGAAAAGAAAGAAATTTAAACAAGAGGCGTGAAAGAAACTGCATCCACAAACAAATAAACAAAGAAAAATGTAAACAAATAAACAAAACTGAAACATGCAATTCAAAATAGATAAATGAAAAAATATAAAAATAAGATAGAAAAAAAGAATATGTCTTGTGTATAAATGTTAAAGTCTTTTTACAAAATTGCGTGAACTTTTTATCTGAAATAAAAAAACAAATCTTCCAATAATAAATCTGTTGGGGATGTGCAGAATACTTTAAGGAATTTGATAAGATATTGAGTTGAAAGAAAGAAAGAAACAAGAGGTTGACAGAACTTTTTGCTGAAACAAACAAACAAACAAAAACAAAGAAAAAACAAAAACAAACAGCAAGGGAAAAAAAAAATAGATAAACAAAGAAATATAAAATAAGATAATCTGTGACAGAATATGTCTTGTGTATCTATAGAAAAACAAAGAAAAGAAAGAAAGAAAGAAACAAGAAACAAAAAACAAACAAATCTTCAAAAATAATAAATCTGTTGAAAGATGAAAAAAGAAAAACTAAGGAATTAAAATAAGGAATAGAAAGAAAGAAAAAGAAAGAAAGAAAGAAAGAAAGGTTGAAATAAAAAGAAAGAAAAAACAAACAAACAAAACAAAGAATGTAAACAAAACAAAACATAATGATAAAACAAAAAGAAAATCAATAAATGAAAAAATATATAAATAAAGATAATCTGAAAGAATATGTCTTGTGTAAGAATGTTACAGAAAGAAGGAAAAAAATAAAAAAGAAAGAAACTAAAACAACCAAATCTTCCAATAATAAATCTGTTGGGGATGTGCAGAATAAAAAAGAAATTTGTGAAGGATTGAGTTGAATCAGAAGGAAATTTAGATAAACAAAGAACTTTTCTGAAAAAACAAACAAATAAAGAAAATTCAATGTAAATAAACAAAAAACAAAGAAATGAAAAAATTCAAAATCGATAAATGCATATTATAGATATACAAAAAAAATAAAAAGAAAGAATATGTCTTGTGTAGAATGTTAGATATAAAAAAAAAAAAATTGCGTGAACTTTTAAAAGAAAACTAAAACAAACAAATCTTCAAATAAAAAAATCTGAAAAATGTAAAGAAGAAATAAAAGGAATTTAAAGAAGGACAAAGAAAGAAAGAAAAAAAATTTATGTCAGGAAAGAAGAACTTTTCTGCATCCACAAACAAATAAACAAATTAAAATGTAAACAAGAAAACAAATATACATGCAATAAAAAATCGATAAATGCATTTATATACAAATAAGATAATCTGTACAGAATATGAAAGATAATAAAGAAAGAAAATTAAAAAGAAAGAAACAGTCTTTTAGAAATAAACGTGAACAAATCAAAGAAAAAACAACCAAATCTTCCAATAATAAATCTGTTGGGGATGTGCAGAATAAACTAAGGAATTTAAAAAAAGATTGAGTTGAATCAGAAGAAATTTAAAAAGGTTGCGTGAACTTTTCTGCATCCACAAACAAAGAAAGAAAGAAAATGTAAACAAGAAAAAAACAAACATGCAAATCAAAATCGATAAAAGAAATTTATAAAGAAATAAGATAATCTATACAGAATATGTCTTGTATATCTATGTTAAAGTCTTTTTAGGAAATTGCGTGAACTTTTAAACAAAAACAACCAAATCTTCCAAACAAAAATCTGTTGGGGATGCAGAATAAACTAAAATTGAAAATAGGAAAGTTGAGAAAGAAGGAAATTTATGAGGTTGCGTGAACTTTTCTGCATCCACAAACAAATAAACAAATTCAATGTAAACAAGACAAACATACATGCAATTCAAAATCGATAAAGAAATTTATATAAAAATAAGATAATCTGTAAAGAATATGTCTTGATATATAGAATGAAACAAAAAGGAAAAATGAACTTTTATCTACTAAAACAACCAAATCTGAAATAATAAACAAATAAAGAAAAAATAAAGAAAGATTTAAGAGGATTGAGTTGAAAATCAGAAGTGAAATAGAAAAAGTTGAAAGAAAGAAAGAAACAAATAAACAAAAATGTAATAAGACAAAACATGATATAATTCAAAAAAAAAAAGAATAAAAAAAATCTGAGAAATGTCTTGTATAATAAATAAACAGTCTTTTTGAAAGAAAGAACTTTTATCTACTAAAAAAGAAAGACTTCCAAAATAAAAAAATGATAAAATAAACTAAAGAAAGAAACAAATTGGAAAGAAAAAAGAATTTATGAAAGGAGAATAAACTTGAAATATAACAAAGAAACAAATTCAAAAAAAAAATATATCAAACAGATAAATAATTTATAAACAAAAAAGATGAATGAAAAAATAAGAATGTGAATATAAAGAAATTGAAGAAAAAAATCTAAAAGAAAACAAAACAAAAAAAACAAAAAAAGAATGCAGAATAAATAAGAATTTGATAAATTGATATTGAATAAGAAAGAAAAAGAAAGAAAAAAAGAGTGAATTTTTATATCCACAAACAAATAAACAAATAAAAAAATAAAGAAAAAAAATGAAAAAAATACATGAAAAAAAAATCGAAAATGCATTTAAACAAATAAGATAAAATACAGAATATGTCTTGTGTATATAAAAAACAAAAAGAAATTAAACAAATTTTATCTAAAAAACCAAATCTTCCAATAAAAATCTGTTGGGGATGTGCAGAATAAACTAAGGAAAGAAGGATTGAAAGAAAATCAGAAGGAAAGAAAAAAGAGGCTGAAAGAATGAACTTTTCTGCATCCACAAACAAATAAACAAAAAAAACAAAAAAACAAAAAAACAAATGCAATTCAAAATCGATAAAGATATTTATAAACAAAGAAAGATAAAGAAAAAAGAATATGTCTTGTGTATATCTAAAAAAAAAAGAAAGAAAATTGCGTGAAGAAATCTAAGAAAAACAACCAAATCTTCAAATAATAAATCAAATAAGGGAAATAAAGAATAAAGAAAAAAAAAATGTGAAAAAGGAATGAATCAAAGGAAAGAAACAAGGAAAAAAGAACTTTTCTGAAAGAAACAAAAAATAAACAAATTCAATGATAAAAACAAACAAACAAATAAAACAAATAAACAAAATCGATGAAAATTATTTATATAAAAAAAAAGATAATATGAAAGAAATAAAGAAAGAAAGAAAGATGTTACAGTCTTTTAGGAAACAAAGTGAAACAAATAAAGAAAAAACAAAAAAATGAAACAAATAAACAAATGGGGATGTGCAGAAAAAAAAGACAAAAAAGAAACAAGTTGAAAGAGAAAGAAAGAAAGGAAATAACTTTAAAGAATGAACAAACAAATAAAGAAATTCAAAGTAAAAAAAAAAAAACATACATGCAATTCAAAAAAAATAAATGAATTATATATACAAATAAGATAATCTGTACAAAAAGAAAGAAAGAATGTTACAAGTCTTTTTTAGGAAAATAAACTTTTAAACAAAAACAACCAAACTTCCAATAATAAATGAAAGTTGGGGATAAACAAATAAAAAAAGGAAACAAATGTAGGAAAAAATTGAGTTGAATAAACAAATAAAGAAAAAAGAAACAAAAAGGCTGAAAAGAAAAAAATAAATAATTGAAACAAAAAAAAAGAAACAAAGAAATAAAACAAACAAACAAACAAATAAAACAAAAAAAGATGCAATTCAAAATAAAAAAAAAAATGAAATAAATAAATAGAAGGAAAAAAAAAAGAAATTCTACAAACAAATATGTCTTGGAAAGAATAAGACAAAAAAAAAAAAAGAAAGAAAGATAAAAAAGAAAAATTGTACAGAAAAACAAAAATTGAAACAAAATCTAGAAATAAAACAACCAAATCTTCAAAATAATAAATTGTTATATGAAAGAATAAAATAAGGAATTTGTGTAGGATTGAGTTGAAAAGAAGGAAATATATGTCAGGTTAAGAACTTAAAGAAAGAAACAAACAAATAAACAAATTCAAATGTAAACAAAACAAAAAATAAACAAAAAGAAAAAAATCGATAAATGCATTTAAATACAAAAAAGAAAGAAAAAGAATATGTCTTGTAAAATATGTTACAATCTTTTTAGGAAAGAAAGAAAGTGAAAAGAAATCTACTAAAACAACCAAATCTTCCAAAAGAAATAAATCTGTTAAATGTGAAAGAATAAACTAAGGAATTTGTAAATATAGATAAAGAAAAATCAGAAAAAATTTAACAGGTTGCGTGAAGAAAGAAAGAAAGAAACAAAGAAAATAAAAAAATTCAAAATAAACAAAACAAAACAAACAAACAAATAAACAAAATCGATAAATAAAATTTATATACAAATAAGATAATCTGTACAGACAAAAAAGAATTGTGTAAGAATAGTTACAAGAAAGAAAGAAAGAAAAGAAAGAAGAACTTTTTAAACAAAAAAAACAAACAAAATCTTCAAATAATAAATAAACAAAAAAATGTGCAGAAGGAAAAAAGGAATAGAATGAAAAAGGAAGAAAAAGAGATATTGAAAAAAGAAAGAAATTTAGAATGAAAGAAGAAAGTGAAGAAAGAGAATGCAAAAAAACAAACAAATAAACAAAGAAAAACAAATAAACAAAAAAAAACAAAATATAAATAAAAAGAAAGATCGATAAATATATTTAAAAAAGAAATAAGAAAGAAAGAAAGAAAGAAAGAAAAAAGAAAAATAAGGAAATGTTACATTCTTGATATAAATGTGAAAAGAAATATATAAAAAACAACCAAATCTTTCCAATAATAAATCTGTTGGGGATGAAGAAAAATATAGAATTTGTGATAAGATTGAGTTGAATCAAGGAAATTTATGTCAGGTTGCGTGAACTTTTCTGCAAACAAACAAATAAACAAATTAAATAAATAAAGAAAAAAACAAACATGCAAAAAAATGATAAATGCATTTATAGAAAGAAATAAGAAAATCTGTACAGAATAGAAACAATGTAGATATGTTAAAGAAAAAAGAAAGAAAAGAAAGAAAGAAAGAAAGATCTACTAAAACAATTAAAAATAAAAAAAAAATAAATTAAAAAAATTTGAAGGATGATAGAATAAACTTAAAGAATTTGTGTAGGATTGAGTTGAATCAAAAAAAATTTATAACAAATAAAGAAGTGAACTTTTCTGCATAAACAAACAAAGAAAAACAAAGAAAGAAACAAAGACAAAACATAAATGCAAACAAAAATAAACAAAAAAAAAATAAACAAATAAAGATAATCTGTACAGAATATGTCTTGTGTAAAATTTACAGTCTTTTATAAAAAGAAAACTTTTATCTAAAAAAACCAAAATTTATAATAATAAATTGTTGAGGATAAACAAAGAAATAAAAGAAAGAAAGAAAGAAGGAGAAAGAATGAAAGAAGGAAATTTAAACAAAAAAAACAAACAAACAAACAAACAAAAAAACAAATTCAAAAAAACAAAAAAAACATACATGCAACAAAAAATCGAAAAATGATTTATAAAAAACAAAGTTAAAGAACAAATAAGATAATAAAAGAACAGAATATGTCTTGTGTATCTATGTTAAAGAAACAAAAGAAATTAAGTGAATTTTATCAAACAAAAAACAAACAAAAAGAAAGAAATAATAAAATAAATAGAATGAGCAGAATAAATAAATGAAATAAAATAAAGATTGAAAGAAAAAAGAAAAAAATTTAAAAGGAAGAGAAGTGAACTAAGAAAGAAAGAAAGAAATAAAGAAACAAACAAAGAAAACAAAAATTAAACAAAATAAACAAAATAAACAAAACATATAAATAAAAAAAAAAATAAATGAAATAAAATATACAAAAGAAAGATAATCTATATAGAAAGAAAGATGTCTTGTGTAAATATGTTACAGTCAAAAGGAAACAATGTGAAACAAAAAAAAAAAAACAAACAAATCTTCCAAAATAAATCTGTTGGGGATGTATAGAATAAAAAAAGAATTTGTGTAGGAAAGAAAATGAAAGAAAGAAATTTATGTCAAAGGTTGCGTAAAGAACTTTTCTGAAAGAAAAAACAAACAAACAAATAAACAAAAAAATATAAAACAAAGGATGAAAAACATAAATAAAAAAAAAATCGATAAATGCAAATATACAAATAAGAAAGAAAGAAAGAAATGTCTTTGAAAGAATAAATGTTAAAGAAACAAAAAAAGAAAAAAACAAAAGAACAAACAAACAAAAAAACAAAATGAAAGAAAAAAAAAAAATATATAGAAATGCAAAAAGAATAAAAAAAAAGAATTTGAAAGAATAGAGTTGAAAAGAAGGAAAGAAAGAAAGGTTGAAAGAAACTTTTCTGCATAAACAAACAAAAAAAAAAATTAAACAAACAAACAAACAAACAAATAAACAAAAGAAAAAATGATAAATTTATTTATATAAAAATAAGAAAGAAAAAAAGAATATGTCTTGTGTATCTAAATAAAGAGGTTAAGAAGAAAGAAATGAAAGAACAATCTAAAAAAACAACCAAATCTTCCAATAAAAAATCTGTTGGGGAAATGAAGAATAAAGATAAGGAATTTGTATAGGATTAGTTGAAAGAAGGAAAAAGAATGTGAAAAAAAAGAACTTTTCTGCATACAAACAAATAAACAAATTCAAATAAAGAAAAAAAAAAAAAGACATAAAAAAAAAAAAGAAAAATGCATTTATAACAAAAAGAAAGAAAATACAAAGAAAAAAAATGAATCTATGTTACAAAATTTTAAAGAAATTGCGTGAACTTTTATCTAAAAAACAAACAAAAAAAAAAATAAATCTGTTATTAAAATAAAGAATAAATAAGGAAGAAGAAAGATTGAAAGAAAGAAAGAAAGAAAGAAAGAAAACAAACAAAAAACTGCATCCACAAACAAATAAACAAAACAATGTAAAAAGACAAAAAACATGCAATGAAAAATCGATAAATGAAAAAAGAAAATAAGATAATCTGTAAAGAAAAAAGAAATATATCTAAAGAAAGAGAAAGAAAGGAAATAGAATGAACTTTTTATCTACTAAAACAAAAATCTTCAAATAATAAAAGATGTTGGGGAATGAAAGAAAATAAAGAAATAAAAAAAAAGAATTTGTGAGGAAAGAGTTGAAAGAAAGAAAGAAACAAAAGGTTGAAAGAACTTTTCTGAAAGAAAACAAAACAAATAAACAAAGAAACAAAAAATAAAAAAAGAAAAACATAAAAATAATAATTCAAAAAAGATAAATGAATTTAATACAAGAAAGATAATCTGAAAGAAAGAAAAGAAATATAGAAAAACAAAGAAAGAAAAAAAAAGAAACAAATAAAAACTTTTATGAAAGAAAAAACAAACAAATCTTCAAACAAATAAATCTGTTGAAATGTGCAGAATAAATAAGGAGAAAAAAAGAAAGAAAGAAAGAATCAGAAGGAAACAAAAAAAGAGATATAGATAAACAAA